TTTTTGAAGGAAAAATTTTTAAAAATTTACATTTATTCTTCAAACTTTAATTATTTAAAAAATATATATTTATTTTTGTAAATGATTTTTATTTAAAATAATTAAAATTATTTCTATAAAATTAATTATTGGAATTTTTATATTAAAATTATTTATTTAATCAAAAATTAAATATTTAAAAATAATCTTACTTCAATAATTACTTAATTAAAATTTTTATTAAATCAAATAATTAATTATTTATAAATAATTTTTATTCAAAGATTTAGTAATTTTTTCTTGGAAATTTTAAAAACATTTTCTTCATCAAAAAATTTAATTATTTAAAATAACTTTTAAACAAAAAGTTAAAAATTTTTCTTGGAAAATTTAAAAAATATTTACTCATCAAAAAATTAAGAGGTAAAAAATTTTTTCTTCAAAAAATTAATTTTTTAAATTATTTTTCTTCAAAAATTAATTACTAAAAATTTTTCTTGAAAAAATAAATTATTTAAAAAATTTTTCTTTAAAATTTTAAAAATATTTTTTAATCGAAAATTTTTTATTTTTCTTCAAAAAATTAATTTTTAAATTATTTTTCTTCAAAAATTAATTACTAAAAATTTTTCTTGAAAAAATAAATTAATTAAAAAATTTTTCTTAAAATTTTAAAAATATTTTTTAATCGAAAATTTTTTATTTTTCTTCAAAAAATTAATTTTTTAAATTATTTTTTTCAAAAAATTAATTATTTATAATTATTTTTTCATAAAAAATTAATTAGTCAAAAATAATTTTTGATTCAAAATCAATTATTTAAAAATAATTTTTTGTCAAAATTTACTACTAAAAATCTGTATTAAATAACTAGTATTTATTTATTTAAAAATTTTAGTAAATTTGAAAGTAATTCTTATTCTGAAAAGATATTTCAATTCGAAAATTTAAAAATTTTATTACGTATTAGAAATAAAATCTAATTTTTAACATTTTGTTTTATATGTATATAAAATTTAGTTTTATTAAATATATTTAAAAATTAAATATTTTAAAATTTATTTAGTTTCATTTAAAAATAAAAACAAAAAATTATTTTAAATCCGAAAAATTTATATAAAATTAAAAATTATGAAAAAATTCAGTTCAAAATTTTATAAAATAAATATATTAAAGATATTTAAAAATTTTAACAAAAATTAAAAATTTTAAAATTTCATTAATTGCTAAAAGTAAATATTTGGAAAAACTAAATTAAACATTAAAAACAAAATCAAAAATTTTTAATATGTTTTATTTAATTAAAAGGTGGATATGAAAATATGGTATAAATTAATGGGATAGAATATGGGAAGGATAGGTTAATGAATGATAAATATTAAAATTTTCTGGCTGCTTTTATATGGCTCATTCAGGCAGAAAATCTAAAGTACACTCCAATAAATTAAAGATTGTTTAAACCAAATGTGTTTATTGAAGGATTGAATTTAAACATTTTAGGAGAGAGATTAGGATATAAACACTTTGATTAGTAATCCTATACTATTTTTATTAGTTTTTACGGAAAAACAGCTTTTTAGCGAGCAAAGGCTAATCTCCATTGTTTATACAAAGTTACAGATATAAAAAATATGAATAATTGTTTTTTAAAATAAACATAGAGCGATTGACTGCACTGTTTTCGCAAAAAAAGAGCAAAGTTTTTCCGTAAAAACTAATAAAAATAGTATAGGATTACTAATCAAAGTGTTTATATCCTAATCTCTCTCCTAAAATGTTTAAATTCAATCCTTCAATAAACACATTTGGTTTAAACAATCTTTAATTTATTGGAGTGTACTTTGGATTTTCTGCCTGAATGAGCCATATAAAAGCAGCCAGAAAATTTTAATATTTATCATTCATTAATTTCTACTTTCCCCTTTTATAATATATTTAATAATTACTCTTTTATATAATTTTAAATTACTTATTCCATCCATTAAAATAGCTTCAACCTTCAATTTATTTTTTTAATATTTAAAATTTGACTTAATATAATTTTAGTTTTTTAAATGTAATTACCCACTCATAACTTTTAAATATTTTAAAATCCGTTTTAACATTTGGCTTTTCATAATTTAAAAATTTTCTTTTAGAAGTTAACCTCACACTTTTTAAGTTTTTAATAAATAACCAACCCTTCATAGCTTTTAAAACATGTAAATTTATTTCAATAAGCCCATCCCCCCTTATATTTTTAAAAATTTTCAAAAAGTAGTAACCCCTACCCTCATTTTTTAAAAATTTTTAGCCCCACCGCTTATAATTTTTAAAATTTTTCTATCTGTGAGTAACCCACACTTCTATAATTTAAAAATTTCAATAAATAGTAACCCTACCCACCTCATATTATTTAAAAATATTTCAATAAGTAGTTACACCCCTACCCGCCTCATATTTTTTAAAAATATTTCAATAAGTAGTAACCCTGCCACCCTCATAATTTTTAAAAATATTTCAATAAGTAGTTACCCCCTACCCACCGCATATTTTTTAAAAATATTTCAATAAGTAGTAACCCTGCCACCCTCATAATTTTTAAAAATATTTCAATAAGTAGTTACCCCCTACCCACCGCATATTTTTTAAAAATATTTCAATAAGTAGTTACCCCCCTTCATTCTTTTTAAAAATCAGTAGTTAGTCCCCCCGCTTCATATACTTTTCAAAAAGAACCCTAACCCCTCATATTTTTTTAAAAATTTTCAATAAGTAGTAACCCTCCCCTTATATTTTCAAAAATTTTTCAAAAAGTAGTAACCCCCCTTCATTCTTTTTAAAATTTTTAAAGCAGTAGTTAGTCTCCCGCTTCATATACTTTTCAAAAAGAACCCTAACCCCTCATATTTTTTTTAAAATTTTCAATAAGTAGTAACCCTCCCCTTATATTTTCAAAAATTTTTCAAAAAGTAGTAACCCCCCTTCATTCTTTTTAAAATTTTTAAAGCAGTAAAAAAAAAAACCCCCCATATTAAACCCCCCATATTTTTAAAAAAATATTCAATTTAAAAATATTCAACCCTACTACCGCATATCTTTTATAAATTTTCAATAAGTAGTAACTCCTCCTTCATTCTTTTAAAAATTTTTAATGCTCTCTTTCAACTTTTCAAAAATTTTCATTTAGTAGATACACTTAATACTTTTAAAACACTTTTCAATTAGTATTAAATCCCAACGCGCCACACTTTTTAAAGATTTTTCAATCAGTAGTTTTACACTTAGTTTTAAAACATTTTTTTAAATGAGTTGTAACACTAATCTAAAACATTTTCATAATAGTTAAACCCCGTCCCTTGTACTTTAACTTTGTCACCTTACGTTTTATATTCAAATTTATTAAGCATTTTTATTTAATAGCTTTTATTTTAAATAAATTTTATATAGATTTGCAGAAAATGGATCAAACCGTGGATTTCAATTCCCGCGGCAATAATAAAGGTAAATGATAAAATCGCTAAATGTTTAATTTACATATGGCATTATTATCATTTACAGAAGCAATGATTACGAATGACAGGGATGGAGATACTCGTAATATGCTCAATGATGATTGTTCTGTGAAGGCAGCAACGCCAATAGAAGGTGATTTTTACATATTTTCTTATGTTAAAAGAATTTTAGCTATAACTATTGCGGAACTTGAAGAAGTTCGTGCTTTCATAATTGAACAGCGAAAGAAGAAGGAAGCCGCTGAAGCGCGTCGGAGACGCTCAATCACAAAATCAAGTACTACACTAAGTTCAGTATCTTCTAAAAGCAAGCCGCCCTCCGCAAAAAAGATGCAAATTAAAAAGGTCAAAAAAACTGGTCATAATGATGGAGTGATAAAAGTAAAAAATTTGAATGTTATTTCTAAAATTCAAAAAATTAAGGCAATTGTTGAGCGTAACAAAAACGAAGAAAATATTGAGCCCGTTGATGACGTAATGATGGACTATGAGGATGAAGAGGATGATTCTGAAGATCCAGACCCCAATGAAATCATTGATTTAGACGATAATGAGGAAGAGTACAAGAAAATGAAATCTGAGCGTATGTTAACATTAATTTTATAAATAAAGAAATTTCAGGCCAACAACGTGCAATGAATTTAGTGCCAGAGGGAGTACTCAACCGTGCACAGATTCTCAAGGAGCAGCGCAAAAGGCTGTTCATATACCAATGTACCGAATGTCGCGATGATCAAAAGAAGAGAGAATACTTTCTTTTCAAATGCGGGAGTTCAGATAATGCAATTCTGACAATGGAATTGTGCGCTGAGGATTTGGACAAAAATATTTTGTTGGGGATGTATTATTCAGGCCCTTGGGGTAAATTAATATTCTAAAATAATAAACAAATATTTTAAAGGACAAACATCAAAGAATTTAAAATATGATCAACAAACATCGAGCTTTGAAAAAGGTATAGAATTTTGAAAATTTTTTAATAATTATTTTTTAGTTGCGGGAGTCTTTTATACTCGACGAGGACCGAACATTGCTAAAGGAAATGACAACAAGCTTTTAAGCCTATTGAAACTTTGTTGGATACTGCACCAGGTATATTTTTATAAAAATAAATATCTATTTTTACATTTAGTGTGATTATTGTAGCCGTTTACAAACGTCTCTGGCAAACGACTTGTTTTTGCAAAAATGTGGTGAAAAATATGAATTGAACTTTATTGTAAGTTTTAGTAAAAAACTAATTAATAAAGATATTTAGCTGTGTCCTATATGTTTGGCAGCAAACAAAGAATTTCAACAGAAAACATATAATTTATTCAACACTTTTAACAAAAACAAATGATTACAATATATTCTTTTGTTGAATAAAATTTTCTATTATTTTTTGAATTCTATTAATGGCGTTTTTTCGCTTATATTTTCAATTAAATTTCATCCTTTTTTAATTTATATTTTAGCTGAAAATATCAATACGGATTTGGAAAAATGTTTGATTAATTTCCTTTGTATTTTAAAGTAACATTTCAGATGGATCGACATGTGGCCGAAGTTGCTATTGAGTCACTTAAGGAAAAACGCATCCGGCTAGCTCATCAACTTGAGGTTTTAATGGGAATTGAATTAGATGAAAAACAATTGAAAGAGGATTTTTATGCAGCATTCATTAAACATCACAGAAAGCAATATCCTCAAATTACGATTGGCCGAATACACGAATACTTTTTGAAGCAACGAAATGCTTTGGGAAGACAAGTTATTTTAAAACTTATAAATTTAATTAAATATTTTCAAGGCGATTGTCGATGTTGTAAAGGATGAGTTGTACACTGCACTTGGCAACCCAAATAGCCAATTTTGGGAGCAAATAGATTTGGAAACGGCCATTGATATTTGTTGTTATGCGCGATACATAGATCCAAAGAAACGCAGAGGTATTTTATATTTGAAATTTTTGTAAATTAGATTTTCAGAAAATTCCCCAATTATTATTATGAATGATATAACCAAACGTGTTGAGTCTCAGCTTAACATCAATGAAGAAGGTGAAGGCACATCTGGGACTATTACTATGGAGCATGCAGAGGTGGCTAATATTTTTGCAAACAACGAGGATATGCAGACAGAAGATTGGTGAAAATTATTGTGATTTGTTTAAACATTATTTTCATAGAATAAATAATCTAAAATGCATTCATTTTTAATTTAGCGTTAATTCGCTGTTATATTTTACTTAATTAATTTTTGATTTAATTTAAAAGTATAGATGAGTCGCTCAAAAATTGTTGGCGAATTTCCAATCAAACATTTTTACAGTGAAGAAGTATCTGAGAACATTAAAAGCACAAAATTTAAAATAGGAGTTTTTAGGTATAATATTAATTTTTATCAATTAAATTTTAAATTTCAGAACTGTATTTACTGTGATGAATGTCGATGATGCTCCAGAAGGTAGTGATAAACTATTAGAAGATTTGGTAGATCACTTCCTTGCAAAGGCCGACAACGCTTCAGGTGCAAAATCTGAAAAGTGTTCAATCATAATAAGAAGTTCTGTCCTTGAAAAGCCCATTCAAATTCCATATAGAGGTCTTGCTCAGAACACTCCCCAGGTTGTTATGGAACAATTTGATGCAGTTGATCAAAGTGGGAAACGCATGGGCAGGCCTTCTCTATACAGTCAGCCTATACATATTGAGGTAAATATTATTCGTTAATAATTAAATAAATTTTGTTTAGATTGTTATGGGCCCTTCGCATGATGAGGCTCTTGAATTATTAAAACAAGGCCAGGGAGGTATGGGCAGGAAGGCGAGAGAAATTCACCAAGGAGTTGATATCAACAATCTGATCCCTGTAATTATTTTTTTATTTTCATTAAAGTTAAAATATTTAGGTCCATAACGAAACTCTTAACCCACCTGCTAACGTTCATTGTTTAATTCTCGCTGTTCAACTTAAAATACTACATGTCAACCTAGATAAGACCATTTTGGCGAATAAAAAATTTCAAAGGCTTGTAAATGGACAAAATAAAAATGCGAGATTCAAGCGTGAATTTTTGATTAAAGAAATGCTGCAGCATCTATTCAGACATGGAATCCGCTATCCTACTTGCGCTGCACAGTATACTGTTGAAGAGCATGTTCCGATGTTACAACGTTATCTGAATTTGCGTTTTCCTGGCAAGTACAGAATATCTGTGTTTGGAGAACAAGGAAAATTGCGCCCATTATGGAAAGGAACGGAAAGGGCAGAGCATGAAATTGCTTTATACTTAAAAGAAGAACATTATTATGGAATCAGAAATGTTAATGCACTTTTTGGATCGTATTATTGTATTGATTGTGAGGCTCCTTATACTAAGAAAGTTGATCATCGCAAAAAATGCGTCGCTAAATGCCCTCGATGTTGTGGAATGGGTTTTGGATTTCCATGCAAAGTGCTTGAAGACTTTTCAAAAAAATGTTTAAAATGTTTAAATATATTTAAAAATCCCGACTGCTATAAAAGACACATAGAGAAAGGAATTTGCAAGATCTTTAAACGGTATTATTAAATAGTATAAATGTATAACAAACTTTTTAGATGTGAGGAATGTGGACATATATATCGTGTCAAAAAAGTTAAATCACAAGAATCTGAAGACGAATCCACAGATGACGATGTTGAAAAAGACGACGGGCATACATGTTTTATTCGGTATTGTTCTCTATGTCTTTCAAAGCACAAGCTCGAAGAACATTGTTATGTGCAACCAATAGTACCAAAACATAATCAAGAATACTTATTGGTATTTAATTTTAAATTTTAAAAATAAATAGTTTTAGATTCCCTTCGACTTTGAATGTGAGCTAATTTCTCCGACAAGGAATCAAGAATATTGGGATCAGCTACAAAAGGATAATTCTATGGAATCTTTACCTAATGATGAAAATTATCAATTACACCATGTAAACTGTGTATCGGTATTTATTTAAATGTATAAAAATATACTAAAATTAGGCCATGTTAATGTGTTATCAATGCATAGTCAATGATAAATGGAGAAATGAGAGAACTGGTTCTTGCAAAATTTGCGGGATTAACAAGCCAAGGATGAGAACTTGGACAGCCGCAGACTTTTCAAATCCCTTGCGTGAATTTTTGGAATGGTTGATTAATGGGTTAGGGAATCAGCGAACAGGGAAAACTTATGCTATTTCACATTATGGAGGGTTTGTTTAATTATATCCATTTTTGCATTATTAATTTAAGTCGATATGATATGCATCTGCTATTAGGGGAATTAATGAAACATTTTGGAATTGAGCCAAAAATAACGAGAACAGGAAACAAGCTTTACGAAGTTCTAATTAAAAAACAAAGAAGACGATTTCCTTATATTTCGTTTCGTGACTCATTCAATTGGACAATGCTTAAATTGGAGCAACTCCCCAAAGCTCTTGCACTTGAAATCGACGAAGGGGGAAAGTCCTTTTTTCCTCATGGCTGGAACTTCAATAAAAATATGGATGTGCGTCTCAACGGATTACCTGATCGACAATATTATTACCCTGATTCAATGGGAAAAGAAAGGAAAAAAATGTTCGAAGAATGGTACAAAGCTAATAAAAACGAACCGTTTTGCCTTCGTGAACAAATTGTCGAATATTGTCAACAAGACGTGCGTATTCTAGCTCATGCACTTGTTAAGCTTCAACGCCTTTTCTTTGCATTAGCTACAGAGCCTGCAAAGCGTGATGACGTGCTTGTTAATTCAATGACAATTGCAAGCGCTTGTATTCGCCATTTTTGTATGTTTTTAAAATAAATTAAATATATTAAAAATTCTAAGGTATAAACTATTTGAAAAAGGCCCAAATGGGTATTATTCCCGACAACGGATATCATAAAGATACAAACCAATCAGCAATCGCTTTAAAATATCTTCGATGGCTTTCTCACAAAACAGATCTCCAAATTCAACATCGAGAAAGCCCGGAAGGAGAAAAGAGGGTACGTGTTTCCGACAGAAGTCTTTTACGACTGGATGGTTATATTAAAAGCACTCATGGAGGTTGGGACCAAGCAATTGAATTCCTTGGATGTGCCTGGCACGGACATGAATGGTAATTAAGATTCTATGTGGAATAAATTATTTTTAGCTTATATCGGCCACATGAAGTTTGTCTAAATGGAAAAACCGCGCTATATAATAAAGATAAACTTGATGAACGTATTCGATTGTTGAAGGAAGCTGGAATTTGGACTATTCCCGTTTGGGAATGTGAAGTAATGAAAGACCTTGAAGAGTGTCCTGAAATGTCTCAGTTCTTCGATAAATTGCCAGACATTGGCCCTCTTTACCCTAGGGATGCTTTCCATGTATGATTTATTCAATTCAGCATTAAATTTTAAATTAAGGGTGGTAGAACAGGTCCTCTTTCGCTTAAATGTGATCTAGAAGGAACTTTTGAGAAAGATTACGAGATCTCATGCTTTGATGTTGTCAGCTTATATCCTGCAGTCAACTTTTATGCATTTTATCCCATTGGTAAACTTTAAATATTAAATTCATTTTTATATTGATTAGGACATCCAAAAGTTTTGGAGTTAAATAAAGATGTGAATTGGACTAAGCCTGATGATTTGCATCCATATAGAGGCCTATTCAAGATTTTCATAATTCCTCCAGATGATTTATATCTTCCAGTAATTCCTGAAAATATTCATGGAAAATTGGTAAATATTTTTTAGAAATTTTGATCATTAATAAACAGATCTTTCATCTATGCCGTAGTTGTGCCGTGGAAGCATCGCCTGGGTTAGCGATACGCTCTAACAGTAAATATAATAAAGAAATTGGTCATGAATGGTGTCCACACAAAGATGATGAGCGAGGATTTGTTAGTACAACTTGTACAGTAGAGCTTGAACTTGCTTTGAAAAAAGGATACCGCGTGACTAAAGTATACAGTATTTATCATTGGGAACAATGGTCCGACACACTATTACGGCCTTATGTTCAGGATATGATGTGTCTCAAAATTGAGGTTTTAAATATTTTTATATTTATAAACTTTTATTAGGCAAGCGGTTGGCCGAGTAGTGTAATAGTCCCTGGCAATCCTGAGATCGAGTATCAGAGGAAAAAAGAATTTATTGAAAGAAACCAAAGAGAATATGGCATACATTTAGATCCAACGAGAATAGAAAGAAACGAGGGGATGCGTTACCTTGCGAAAACTTGCAACAATTCAATGTGAGAAACTTTTAAATTTGTTGTAATATTTAAATTAGGTGGGGCCGATGGGCACTGAGGTGTAATTTATCTCAGGTATTTTTTGCTTTCAAGTTGGCACTGAAATTTTTAGGATTGTATAACTAGCTCTCCTGTCGAACTTCATACCATTCTCAATGATCCGAAACTTGAACTTGGTGCAGTAGAGATGTTGGCTCCAAATCTTTTTTCCGTTCCGTATAAGCATAGAAGAGAATTTGTACGCCCACACGACAAATATAATATTGCGGTCGCATTAATTACAACTGCAACAGCTCGAATAATGCTATATGACTATATGGAAAGAATTGTAAAAGAAAAAGATTGCAAGCTGTTGTATACTGACACTGATAGTTGCTTTTATTTGCATCGTCGTGGACAAACACCTCCCTTTCGTGTGGGTGAGATGCTTGGGATGATGGATCGCGAGTATGGGGAATGGAATATCATTGCATTCTATACTGGGGGATGCAAGCAGGTAGAAAACTAATTTTAGGCAAACAATAATTTTTCAGTATGCAATGAAAATGAAGCACAGAAATAGTGGTGAAATTAAATTTATTGTAAAATGCCGCGGTTGCTGGGACAAAGTTGACTCACCTCTAGACTTTAAACAATTCAAGGTTATCTTTTAACCATTTTCTAAATTTAAAAAATATTTAGAAAATGGTTGAAGCGTATGGGGAGGATCAGGAACCGGTCATTCTGGAGAGAATACATTTTCAGCCAAGTTGGAGGAGAGGGGAGGTTACAAGCAGATCTCAAAAAAGGTATTAAATATATTTTTAATTATTATAACTTTCTAAATTCAGACGATATGCTCCAATCTACGACAAAGGAATTGTTGATGATAATTTTGATTGTTATCCTTATGGATACAGAGGCGAACCACTTATTGATCCTATATATCTTGAATAAATTTTAATTAAAATTTTTCTTAAATTAAATGTTCTAATACAAATATACTTTTATTAATCCAATTAACAGATAATTTCAGATTTGGTTCTTTAATACAGATTTGATCAAAATGACCGACAATTTAGGTAAACAAAATTTATTACTCAAATTAATATTAAAAATTAAGCTATCACTACAGGAATGTTAGAGAATTTAACAATGACTTCAAAGAATATTTGCATCAAGACTACACCGCTAATCAAACTACTCTGCCAATTCAATGGAGGATGTGTACCTGAATTACTTAATTGTGAAATACGCGATAATTACACCGAAAATCTAAAATTCATACAATCTCTTGCAAACGAAGATATCTCAGGAATTGGACAAAAGGAATTTAACAAAAACAGCATATTTCCTGGAAAGGGATTTCTAGTTACAAACCATTTTAAAAATCGTTTCATCGAAGTGTATCCTAAAAATTTTACGAATATGGGATCTGATCGAACTCTCGCTCTTCGAGGATTTTTATCAATAACAATAAGGTTTTATCTTTCTTTAATCATATTATATTTCAAGACAATTTTATTATGTTCGACATTACGTTAATCTTGTTTATCCTCATTTGCCTCTTGTGTGTGTTAAAGGAGGAGGAACGCATGAATACTATTATCCTATCGAGTGCTTGGACTTTGTTGAAATTGAGGAACAACCCTGAAATTAATTTTAGCTTATTATCATGAATAAATATTTTTTCAGAAAAATTTTTAAATAAATGTTTTATGCATTATATCTATATTGATAATTAATAATTATTTTAAGCTTGCAGAATCAATATGATCAGCGACGTCAATATTGGTACACATTTATATAGAAAATTAATTTTAAAATAATTTAAGAATCCGCTTCACTGATGATGGAACGTCTTCATTTAAAACATGAACAAAATTCTCTACCCCCTGAAGAAATTATTGGGCCACAAAATCAAAATATTTTTATATTCAACTCTCCCAGATGTGGATTTGACAACCGCTTTAATACAACATTTACATTGCTTGGCCGGTCATTCAATTCAATTGAACAGTATTTCGTCTGGCAAAAGGCTAGATTCTTTGGGGATTTGGAACTTGCTTCAGAAGTGCTTATGATCAATAATCCAGTTGCAATAAAACGAATTGGAACTCGTGTGAAAAATTATAATAAGAACGAGTGGAATTCAGTTAAAGACAAGGCAACTATTTATTTTTAACAAAATATTAAATAATATTTTATAGATAATGTATACAGGGCTATGGGCCAAATTTACACAAAATCTACAGCTTTTCAATCAATTACGTGCAACGGGGGATGGTCTTATTACACATGCTTCAGCTTACAGTCTACATTGGAGTAATGGCTTGAGTCATAAAAGTCCTTGTCTGAATGATCCAAGCATTTGGGAGGGAGAAAATAAACTTGGCGAACTAATGATGGAATTACGAACTGAAATAAACACAAGTATTTTTTAATTCTTCAAAAACATTGAAATTGAATTGTAAATTTTATTTTGAGTTAAGTAAATTTCTTCTTCTGATCTTGCGCCTGTAATAATGCATTTTCCAGTTGTGAATAGTATAATAACGGCTCGTGATTCCATTAGTCTTAGACACATCCCTGGAAAAAATTCTGGATTGTAGGAGATGTGCCTAGCAAGCCATTTGGGCGGAGAAACCCTCAATGAATCATACAAAGCTAAAAATTAATTTTTAAGCAAAAATCAAGATACCAGGTAAATTTAGAGTTCCTGAAAATGTAAACGAAGAGACAATATTTTGAATACTAAAATTTCGCATATTTATCAATATTGTTGATGCCGCAGAAATTAGTTTGACAAAATATATGATAGCGGTTTCAGAGTCCTTTACTGATTTTGTTCCGACACAAACTATTCGTCCATTCGCAAAAAGTAGTGCTGTAGCAATTATTGGTTCTTTAATCTTAACTGTTAGAGCAGAAAAGCGTTCAGGACGATATCTAGCATTAGGAATCATTGATGCAAGTTGCGAAAGATCTAGGCTGTTGTTATTTTCTAACAGACTGGCTGTAGCTACCACATTTTGAATTACTGCTTTTTGATACATATTTTAGTTCCTATATAAATAATTACAAGAATTTATATTGTATTAAAAATGTTTATAGCCCCTTTCACTATGATAATTTCGGGTGCCACGGGGAGTGGCAAAACCCAATGGCTACTAAAATTTCTGATGCATAATGACCAGCTCATAGATCCTCCTCCTTCAAAAATATTATATTGTTTTGGAGAAATGAATGAAACTGTCTTTAAGCTTAAGGAAATGGGAATAACTACTTATAATGGGATTCCAGAATCTGAACTAATTAAACAGCATCAGCTTTTAGTTTTAGATGACTTAATGCTTAATATTCCAAATGATTTCTTAGATTTACTATTTACTAGAGGTTCACACAATTGGGGTGTAAGTGTGATTTTTGTCACACAATCTTTATACGGACGTAATATAAAGACGGCCCGTGCAAATGCCCATTATATCCTTCTAACAAAAAACCCTCAGGGTCTTCTGCAAGTACGTACACTAGGCTCACAGCTTTTTCCTAAAATGCTTAATTATTTTCTTGAAGCATATCGAGATGCAACATCAGAACGTTTTTCTTATCTATTAATAAACATGCATCCTAACACAGATGAAAATATGCGATTATCTTCAAAAATTTTTCCCGGAGAAAAAACTTCTATATATTTGCCTCTGTAATATATAAGTACTCAAAACATTTTATAATGAAAATGCCATCATTCAATTATAGCCCATACGTTAAGGAAAACTTTGAGTTTCTCCAACAATTAGCAAAAACTACTTCCGATAAAAAGAAAAACGCGCTCATCCTTTCAGCAAGCGCAGATCAAATTTTAGCTATCGTTGAAATTTGTGCAAATATTCTAAAGAATAATTTTACACTAAGCAGGAAGCAACGCAGAAAATTATCTCAATTTGCGGATTTCTATAGGGCAATTGCACGAACTCGTACAACAAAAAGTGCTAGAAATAGAATACAACAAGGAGGTAGTGCCGCTCTAGCCGCTATACTAGTACCCGTCTTAGGCGCTTTAGCTGAACATATAATTCATAAATTCTCACAGGAATGAAACATACAAAGAAAATGATCATGGTGCCCGAGAGCGAATATCTCACTCTTTTAGGCATGATTAAAAGTGGAGATTATCTTCAAACAGAGAAGACACAGACGGATGTCGATATTATAAAAACCCTCGATGACCCTAAAATTTCGGAAGATTTAAAAGCAAAGAAATACAGTTTATTATATAAGAAGAGGCGTCAGCTCAAACATAAGTTGGAAAATCGGCCACAAAAAGTTATTATTGATGAAGGAAAACCTGCTCCAGATGTTGCACCATACTTGCAGGAAAATATCGCTTCTACACCAAAACCAAAATTAATTCCCAACAAGCTCAAATCAGCTTCAAACTCCGAATATCAGACGGATTTAGAAGTGACTCCTAAGTTGCCGCGAGCAAAAAGAAAAAGTGCAATTCCTTTTTCCAAATTCAAGGGTATTATTGCATCACGTTATTCCACAGAATTGGATAATTATGTTAAAGATAATGCTGAAAAATTTAGAATAAGTAAGAACGGGAGTTTTGAATCTAATGTCCCTGGAAGACTTGTAAAGAATAGCAATTTCACAGATGTTCTCGAATATGTAAAGGGCGAGACATCATCGCCCCCAAAAGGTTTCAGTTTTTTATTTAACCGTCTTTCTAAGGACCCGTTAGTGAAAGAGATGATTAAAGAGACGCGTGGAGAAAGTACTACTGAAGGTAGTTCAACCGATAATCAATCAGGCAGCGGTAAAAGAAAAAAGAGAGTTTTAGTAAAAGTCATGCCTATAAATTCACCTGGATTAGTTCGGCGAAAAAATAAATTTATGCCAAAAATATGGGAAAAGCTTTAGATACTTTTTTAGAAAAAATATATTATTCGCTTAATTCTCCCGCTTCATATGCAGGAATAAATCGCGTCTATGAAGAAGCGCGTCGAAAATATCCTAAAATAAAATTTCAGGATGTTTATGATTTTATGCATAAGCAAAGGGTGTATACAATGCATAGACCTCTAAGAAAAAAGTTTCACAGGTTAGCCACTAGACCAAGCGGCCTGCACACAGATTGGCAAGCGGATCTGGCTATATTTGATCAATTAACTGAACATAATGATGGGTATAAGTATCTTTTGGTATGTATTGATGTACTAAGTAGAAAAATTTTTGCTGTGCCTGCCAAATCTAAAAGATCCGAAGATATGATTGACGCGTTCGAAAATATTTTTAAGCTTTCAGAAGGGATACTTCCGCATAAATTATATACGGATCGAGGGTTAGAATTTGAGGCAAAACGAATGAAAGAATATTTTAAAAAGAAGGATATTGATAAGCGGGTAGTCTATAGTCCCGATGTTCACGCCTCTATGGCTGAAAGGGCCAACCGTACAATTAAAGAAAGATTGTATAGATATTTTAGCGAACAAAATACACTATGTTGGAAGGATGTTATTCAAAAAATAATTGCAGGAATAAATGAAAGTATTAATCGAACCACAGGTGTAACCCCAAATTCTGTTACATTTAAAAATGCTGGGAAACTTTATAATAGACTATATAAGGGTCCTAAATTTTCGCAAAATACTAAATCAATCTCAATACTGGAGCCAGGACAAATTGTTCGTATCACAAAAGAAAAAGGTAAATTCGAAAAGGGATATCTACCCAACTACACTGACGAATTATTTCGCGTGCACATCAAAAACGACAATAGATCACCCATAACATATAAATTAAAAGATTTTGAAGGAAATTTAATTGAAGGAATATTTTATAGAGAAGAATTAGTACCCACACAGGAAGATACTACTCACCGCATTGCAGAAATTTTAAAAACACGTACACGTGCAGGCCATAAACAACATTTTGTTCGTTGGATTGGATACAACGATAATTTTAATAGTTGGGTTAACGATAGTGATATTGTTAGAAGATAAATATGGACTCATTTTATGTAATATTGCCCTCAAATACAGGAGGCGTTGAAGGAAATACAACTTCCAAATTTACTGTTAGAATGCCTGACACGCTTGAGTTGGATTCAAGTTGGACTGTTGCACTGTCTAATATTATATATCCATTTTCCTTCTCATTATTTGGGGATTCTGAAGAACAAGAATCTATAACTGTTTTTCGAAGATATGGAAATGAACTTTATCCTATTCGTATCGAGATACCTGATTTGTCCTATGCCTCAGAAGAAGCATTAGAAGAGTCCATTAATGCAGTTTTGCTTGATGTATGGAAAAAGGAATTGGATCGAGAGCGTGAGGAACAGAGGCTTGAAGAGAATAAAAAAAGAATTTATGGGGAATATCGTAAACGTCGAGCTGTCGAATCTATAAAAGAACAGTATGATAAACATGGTTATTTCGATTTGGACGCAGATGAATTGAATAAATTTATCAAGCTATTGTCTGAAGAGGATGATGCAGTTAGTCCCAAACTTACGAATTTGAGTCCAGGTGAAGGCGATAAAAATATTCGTCTTTTGCCTCCAGCAAATCAAAAAACCCTTTACTTAAAAGTTATTGATAAATTTATTCTTCCTCATCAGACTCAATTAGAACCTGAGGAACAGCTGGTCAAAAATGGCTATT